AACAAAAAAAAAAACACCGGTTCCAGCCTTTTGCCTCGGGAGACAAAGTACACATAACTCCACTAAACAACACCATACAATCCTGATAATAAGCCCTACCTGAACCCTGCAACTTTAGGCTTCTGATTACGATTTCCTTACATATGTCAAACAAAAAAAGCTTTCGGGTTCTGGTAAACCCTAAACCCTAAAGGCCAGCGCCTCGGACCAGGTCTCATCATGGAAGGCGCCTTTGGGGCGCGCTTCCCTGCCAAGAAAGGAGTTGTGGATCAGGGATTGCAAGAAATAGGATTTCTGGTCTAGGGGTTGTACAGGGTTTCTGGTTTAGGGGTAGATGGTGTAGGGTTTAGGGCTTAGGGGTATAGGGTGTAAGGGTTTACAGTAGGTGCTCAGCTTGCTCTGGGTTTCGGCGGAAATCCTCCTGATTTAGGACTTGGCTAAACCCTAAACCCAATCAACTTCCAACAGGCTAGAAGTAGTCAAAAGAATCCGCTAACCCAAAAACGTACAAAGTGTCTCGGTTGAAGGGTTTTGCTGGGTGTGTGTAGAGCTTCAGACAATCTATAAGCGCCGTGTCCAAAAACCTTAAACACTTGTAAACCCGAAGCAAAAGCTCCCTAAACCCTACAACCCTTATAATTCAACCCCTTGAAAGCCCAACAAAAAGAAGCTCGGCTTCTAATTAGACCCCTACCTTAAGAACCCCAAAACCTACTTTTTTGTAGGGTCCCTATAAATCCCATATTAGGGTTTATAATAAGAACCTACCAATCCCAAGTTGGGATTTATAGGGACCCTATAAAAAAAGTAGGTTTTGGGTTCTTAAGGTACAGCCCCAAGAAAAAAGCTCGCCTGCTGCTTCTCGAAGTGGACGGAGAGCAGTCTTCTGGAGGCCAGCTCTTTGGCGGGACTGGCGTGGGGCCATTCTTTAAAGGGTTTAGGGTTTAGGGTTTAGGGTTTAGGGCCATTCTCTAAAGGGGGTTCGTTAACGGGGAGAAAGGTCTTGCAAGGGGTTTCTGTAAGGGTTACGTTAAGGGTGCCTGTAGTCGTAGGGCCTCAAATTATTGCGCTCGGGGTTTGGGGTTTATTAGTTGGCCGGTTGGCCGATCCGCATGACTGGATGACTGGCGCTGAGTTTAGCGGGTTCGGAGTCAGCCGTTTGACACACCACCTACCGAAACTACAAACCATGAGCACTAAACTCATAGCAAATGACTTTTGGACGTGGTTGCCGCCTACGGTATTGACCGTTACAGCGCCGCAGCAGCCATGCCCCGCCCGACACCGAAGGACAGCGGCTCTTTGGTGATTGCCCTCTGCCTCATGAGCGACAAAGAAAACAGCCTCTCAGCTCCAGCGGGATCGCGGCGACGTCGGTTTAGGGTTTAGGGATAAGGGTGCGCACGTACGTATGGCGACCCCTTGGTCATTCGCAGTGCGAAGGATCGAGGTCAGCTCATCCACCGTCAGATCTGTTCCAAGATCCGCGAGTGCTCTAGAAGCTTGAGGAGCAAGTGCCATGAGCAACATGAGGTTGTGAAGTGTTTCTGCTTTGTTTTGCTGAACTGGTGTCACCAGACAGCAAATAGATGCTTTTGACGCGTTTGTTTAACCGCGTCTTCAGCGCAGCTCTTGCTGCTTCAGGCGGTTCAAGGCATCGTCCATGTCGCAAAACTCGACAAGTGCTCGTTTGGAGAAGAAACTGCAATTTTCAGCGAAAACCAAGATGCGAGCAAAGTTCTGGGGACCCGCCAGGTGCTGAACTTCCCAAAATAGCTTGCCGAACAAAAAGTTGCAAATTGGACTTCACCAATTGCTTACGAGAAAACACAGTGGGTCCCCATTGCCGATGGATCAGCTCCTCCGAAGACTAGGGCTCCATCTGAATAAGCTTGAGAAATTAGACTAGGCTTATGGTTTTGGCGTTTTAGGCCATTAGGGCTTCCGGGTTTAGGGTTTACCTGGACCCTTAACGACCTGCCTTTCTTGGGGCTCCTTATTATGATTCCTTATATACGTCCTTCACTTTGTAGGTTCGGGTCGAGATAGGGGTTTAGATTTCTACAATAAAGGTCCATAGGTAAGGTAACCCTGAGGAATGACATGACCAAGTACTCAAGACACTGTCCGGCTGTGTACCCAGGCCGTGTTCATTGCAGTGTGCAGTACATAACCCAGCATGAAACCCTCCCCCTAAAAAAGGCTAGGCTTTGAACAGCCCCACTAGTAAACCCTAAACCCTAAACC